GGTCTCTGCGTAAGTACTTACCAGTGATAGCGGTGGTGGGCCCAGAGCAGGGCGTGCGGATCCCCAAGCACCCGGACTCTGCAGGAGAGGTGCTTAAATGGGTTTTGTGGGAAGAGAGGACATCGACACGGTCCCTAGAATCTGAAGACTGGTTTCCTGAAGCCAGAGAAACACATGCCCGGCCCACTGTGCAATTGCAATAGACTGCCTGGGGTGGCTGCATTCTTATGTTTTGGCGGCAAGTCCTGACCTGACCTTGCTCTCAAAACTATAGCTCCTGGCATCATTCTGCCTAGACGTGGGCTGCCTCGGGAGTCCAAACTCAGAAACCTCTTTAGAAACTCAGAAACAAGCATAGCCGCTTGTCTTGCAATTTGGTGGTGATTCGATTGTGGCAAGATTTGACACGGGTGATTGGTGACAAAGGGTCTCTGTCTAAATATTTTGCTTTCTGACACAGGGTCTCTCTACGGAGCCCTGGCTGTCCTGGAACTCACTCTGTAGACCATGCAGATCTTGAACTCACAGAGATCCGCCTGCCTCTGCCTCCCGAGTGCTGGGATTAATGACATACGCCACCACACCTGGCCTAGAGGGTTTCCTCTAATTCAATGCATTCCTCCTTAGACCAAATGCTGTCTTTTACTCAGTGTGTATTAATATATTAATGTAGCAGTTGTCATGCTTAGTCACTATAAGAAGTTACTTCCTTGCTTTAAACAAAGAAGTAAAACTGTAAAAATAGTACATTCCAGGTATGAAACTACTTATCAAGTCTGAAGACACCACCTCTAAAAACCCAGAGTGTCAAAACTAGGAAAAAATGCCCAGAGCAGAGAATATTCTGTGCTTGTTTTGATCCTGATAGTGTTCCATCGCTAGCCTTCACTGAGTCGTTTAATTTGGCCCTTAAAACATTCTTTGAAGTTATATTTGCCCAGCTCCAGAATCTTGCTGGCAGACAGTTCTGATCACTGGCAGCCATGTATTGGTTCCTGGCAATAATGTGGGTCTCTGAACTTCTTCCATTACCAAGTCAATCCTTGCCTCCATCTCCGTCAATAGTTAATACATTTTTTTTTCTAATATAGAGTCTGTTGGGGCAAAGGGAAACTGCAGCATGGCCTTGATATAAACCTGATATAACTTCCAAGTTGTCACCCATGCAAGGCAAGCGCTGTACTACTCAGCTACAACCCCAGCCCTCTCATGCTCTACCCTTTAACAGCTACCTATTAGTCCTGGCACTAAAGTTACTTCTTAGTTTCCTCCTGTGTGCTGTCTCTATTCCATATTCCATTTGACCGCCTGTTCTGGCCCTGCAGATTTAAATGCTTAACTAGTGGAAATGTTTGACAAGTGTGCTTAATCTCTGAGCTGCATTCCTTGCTTTTTGTTTAGGGAGTGAATGTTGGGGAATGCCGAGAGAGGAAGGTGTGTTTTTGTGAACTTATTGAAGGGTTGCTTTTGCGACATTAGGTATCACTGGTTATTTATTAGCTGCTGTGGCTAACAGCAATTGTCCAGTAAACACTTGGCTTTGCCAGAAGAAGCTTTGAGAGAATGATGGTGAAGCCTACCCCAGCGCAACCTGACCCTCTCCCCCCCACCGGGGGGGGGGGAAGAGGAGAAATATGAATTAAATGGTGAATCTTGCACTAAGGCAAGGAGGAACTCCAGGTTTTTGGCCTAGAAATTATAATATACATGAATGGTTTTTTCTCTTTCGCTTTTTCTTTTTTTCTTTTTTTCTCTTTTTTAAAGACAGGGTCTTAAGTAACCCAGGCTTGCCTCAAACTCAAATGTACCTGAGTCTGGCTTTGAACTACTGATTCAGTGCTTACACCTTCCGTGGGCTGGGATCACAGGTCTGTACCACTACATCAGGCTTTTGTTTGCTTGTTTTTCAAGACAGGCTTTCTCTGTGTAGCCCTGGCTGTCCTAGAACTCACCCTGTAGACCAGGCTGGCCTCAAAGAGATCCACCTGCCTCTGCCTCCTGAGTGCTGGATTAAAGACATATGTCATCATGCCTGCTTTTTTCTTCCTTAAACCTTTATGTGGGGGCGGAAGAGGTGGCTCAGGGCTTATGAGAGCGCGTCTTGTTCTTCCAGATAGCTCAGTTCAGTTCTTAGCACCTTGTTCAGACCATTCACAACTGCCTGTAACTCCAGCTCCAAGGGAAAAATGCCTCTGGGTACCCATGTACAGGCATGGCATAGGCTTATACATTACTTATATACATATAAGTAATACTGTCTTTTTAGAAAACTTACTGTGTATATTTAAGGTTGGCCACATATTATGGGATGCATATAGGTAGTAAATGTATATGGTTGCTATAGTGAAGTAAATGCATGGGTGGTTACTTCTTATAAGACTTGCTAAAATGAACTTACTGTACACAATCCTGGATACAGTATCCTTTGATTACCCACAGTTCTCTGTTCTACCCTGGATCTCCTGACTTGTGACTCTTCCATTTGTCCTTCTTTGTATTCTTTGGGATTCATCTGGTTTTTACCCCTGCCCTGTTTTATTTCTAGCTGTGTGCTTGGATATAATTTCCCCATATATGTGATTATGTAGTGTTTTTCTTGCAGCGTCAGGGTTGTTTCCTTAAGCATAGAGTCTTCTGGTTCTGTCCATGTGACAGATCTCCTTTTTTAAGAATGAGTAATATTTCACAGTATGGCTAATTCTCTTTGTCCATTTGTCTGTTGAAGCCATGACTGTTCAGTGGAGAAGGAACTGGCACCTGCAATGCCCTGGCTTCAAAAGAATCTGTAATGTTATAAGAGCAACCATTAATAAGGTCACAACCTGGATAGATTGTTCCCATATTTTGCTTCTTGTGAATAATGCTACAATTGTTACTAGTGAACAGATTTCTTTACAAGGTTATAATTTAATTTTCTTTGGTTACCTATCCAGGAGAGGTATTGTTAGTTCTAGTAATTCTATTTTATTTTTAATTTTTAAAACTTGATTTGATTTTTAAAAATTTAAATGGATACATAATCTGTACATTGTCATAGGGTACTTTGTAACTTTTTTTTTTTTTTTTGGTTTTTCGAGACAAGGTTTCTCTATGTAGCCCTGGCTGTCCTGGAACGCACTCTGTAGACCAGGCTGGCCCAAACTCAAAAATCCACCTGCCTCTGCCTCCCAAGTGCTGAGATTAAAGGTGTGCACCACCACTGCCCACCTAAATGAGTTCTTAACAGAGAAATGCTTACCAGGCCTGGGCCCAATAACCTCCATGACCTGGGAGACTAAGACAGGATGATCTCAAGCTTGAGACCTGGTAATACGAGCCTGTAATCTCAACTACTTGGAAAGTTGAGGCTGGGAGAAGATAAATTTACAGCTGCCTGGATTACAGAGTGAGTTTGAGGTGGGACATTGTCCTAAAATTTAAAATAAAATAAAATAAAATAAAATAAAATAAAATAAAATAAAGATGAACATAGCTTAGTCCTAGAATGTAAGCCTGGCAACCCATGGCCAGTGAGCGAAAGAGAGAGAACAGAAGAGAAAGGGAAGAAGGCAAGGAGGAGCTGGTGGCCAGTATAGGCATAGAACCTCAATCTAGGCAACTCGGGAACTTAGTGGGAGCTGTCATGCAGTGTAAGCTTTGGGCCTGTGGTTAGCCAAGGTACTGGCGTCTCCAGTGCTCTGGGGTCTTCTGCAACTAGGCTTCACCAATAGCCCCTCATAGGCTCTCTTCATGGTGACAAGCCTCAACTCCTTTGCATGACCCCTTCAGTACTGGGCCATCAACTACCACTGAGGTGGCACCTTCACCAATGGCCTTCCATGGCCTCTCACAGTGCCAAGCCTCAGCTGCTCTCCGTGACCCCTTCATGCCTTCAAAGCCAGTACCACGTGGGTGATTCTTACACATTACCAAGTCTAGCTGCAGCACAAGTTACAACCTTGGCTGTCTGGAACACAGCTTCTTTGTGTTCTTAGAAGATACTTCCCAGAAGATTTCACCTCAGTGATGCTGGTCTCTTCTTAATCACCACTAATTTCTTAGCTCCAGCTAACCAGCATCAGTTGTCCCAGTAGTCCCTTCTATTCTGGACTCTAAAGCCAGAGCCACAGGACCTAAGTTGCTGAGTTCTGCTGCTTGCTGGGGCTGGAACATGGTCCCCTTATTCTATTACCAGCTTTCTGTTTTCCTACTCCCTCTCTGCCTAAGTTTGGCTGTTCTGGAACTTATTCTGTAGATTAACCTTGAACTCGGAGATCTCCAATACTCTCCTAAATGCTAGGATTAAAGATGTGGTCCACTGAGCCTGAACCTAAACTTAGCTTGGTGGGATCTTCCTCCAAAGTCCTATTCCGTTGTATCTGTTATCTCCTAGAACATAGGATTCAGCTCCATTTCACTTCCTGGTGCCTCTAATACTCAAAACATATATTTTATATTTTTCCTTTCTAAGCTTGCTATGCTTGTTCGAAACACTCTTATGAGACTTAACCAGAGAACAGTCTTGGCTGGGCTTTTTTGAGATCTTCTTTCTCGATGCAGTTAATATAAATCTCTTTACCTTAGCCTCAGGCATACCCTTGAGATAAGGGCAAAAAGCAGCCAAATTCCTCGCCAAAATATCATAAGAACAGTCGCTGGGCCATGTATTAAAATTCCTCTCTTCTGAGACCTCTAGAGCCAGGCTTCCACAGTTCAAATCACCCTCCGCAACAAAGTCTTCCATATTCCTACTAGGATGGTCATTTAAGCTCCATTTAAAGCATTTCACTGCTTTCCAAATCCAAAGCTCCCCAATCCACGTTCTTCCAAGCAAAAGCATGGTTAGGCCTATCACAGCAATACCCCACTCCTGGTACCAACTTTTGTCTTAGTGTTTTACTGCAGTGTTCACATGACCAAGAAACCATGACCAAGGCAACTCTTACAAGGACAACATTCAATTGGGGCTGGCTTACAGTTTCAGAGGTTCAGTCCAGTATCATCAAAGCGGAATCGTGGCAGAGTCCAGGAGGAGCTGAGAGCTCTGAATCATCTGAAAGCTGCTAGGAGAAGACTGGCTCCCAGGCTGCTAGGAGGAGAGTCCCCAGAATTCCAAAAGTAAACTATCATCAGCCGGCAAAATCACACTCCTGCCAGAGCATGAGACAAATCATAGTTAGCCATTGTGTACAATCTGAAACAGCCCCATATCCTATGCCTGGGATTAAAACAAAAACATACTCCCATAACATAACTGGATTTTTTTAGAGACCAAAATTCTCACTACAAACGGGTCTTAGAATTGTGGGAACTGGGACATACGAGGTCATAATTTAACAAGCTAACTTTTTACATTGTTCCACTGAAGAGTGGCCAGTTCTTATCAATGCAGTTCAATTCAGACAGCTTAGCAGTTAAGAGCAGTTACTGCTCTTACAGAGACCCAGGTTCAAGACCATGGTTCCTTTGTGCTTACAAACAATTTTTTCTTCTTTCTTTTGGAGACAGGATCTTATTATAGCCGGGCTGGCCTTGAGCTCACCTATGTAGTGTATGCTATCTTTGTGGACTCCTGACCCTGCGGCTTCCCATCTCTGGAATGCTGGGATTACAGGCATGTGCCATTACAAGGTTGTAATTTTTTTATTTGTTTGGTATGTGCTGGGATTCAAACCTGAGACCTTGTTAGGCAAGGTTTTCTTTTCAATGATACCAGCCAATCTGAAGAGTTTTCTTTATTTTTTTTAAATTTATCATTGTGTGTGTGTGAGCACTGACGGGCTGTGCCATGGTGCACGTGGAGACCAGAGGACTCTCCATAGAGTCTGTTTTCCCGTGACTGGGGGTTCCAGGGGTCAAACTGAGGCCCTCAGGCTTGCCCAGCAAGAGCTTTCGCCCACTCAGACACCTCACTGGCCCTCGGCAGTTTTCTTCGGTATCCTTCTATGGTGGCTCTTTGTCACTTTGACCTAAGCGCTGGTGTGCCTGTTGACAGTTCTCAGTGAACAAGAATTTGATTGGTAGGCAGGCTCTCCTGCTTAGTCATTACAGCACCGGCATGCTTGGGCCGTAGCTGTGGGAATCTCGAACCACAGGTGATCTTTCAGCTTGACCAGCTTGCTTGAGCTGCCCACACTTTTCCCTTTGCTAGGCCACAGTCATCCTATCCTCCCCTCCCTGGTAAAGCCAGGACTTAATCCTCACCCCTGAGCCGTGCTCTCCTTAGGCTCTCTTTTTTCTTTTGTAGGGTGGGGGTGGTTTCAAGATGGAGTTTCTCTGTGTGGCCCTGACTGTCCTGAATCTAGCCCTATAGACCAGGTTGTCTTCAGACTCACAGAGATCTGCCTGCCTCTGCCTCCCGAGTGCTGGGACTAAAGGTGTGCACCACTACATCCAGCTATTCTAGTTTTTGAGATGGTTCCCATTAAATTGCCCAGGCTAGCTTTGAACTCATTCTGTAGGCCAGGCAAACTCCAAACTTGATGTTCTCCTGCCTCAGCTTCTCAGCTAGAGTTACAACCCTCTGCCACAAGCCCCAACCTTTTCATTTCTTTCCCTTCCCCCCTCTTTCTTTCTTGCTTTCTTTCTTTCTTTCTTTCTTTCTTTCTTTCTCTCTCTCTCTCTCTCTCTCCCTCCTTCCTTCCCCCTCCCCCCCTCCCTCCCTCCCTCCCTCCCTCCCTCCCTCCCTTCTTCCCTTCCTTCCTTTTGAAGGGAAGGTCTTACTATATAACCCATACTATCCCAGTACGTGGTGGTGGTGGGGATGAGGGATAGAGACAGTTGTGTGCCCCTTGTGTATTTATTCTCTTACTTGTGTTGTTGAGTTTGCTCACCAATAGGTACATGTACATGTACTTGATAAATCAGATGTCCAGTAACAGAAAGTGCTGGGAGAGCTGGGAATTTCTGTGGATGGGCTGAGTGTTCATGAGAATGAATGTCATATTCTTTGTCAAAGTGACCTATGGGCTTGGATGTGGTCTGTGAGCCTGTCAGTATTATGGGGAAGGAGGCTTGGAACCAAGAATGAATAGCCTGTTCTTTGGACCTTTGACCTCACTGGTGAGTACATAACCACCGGGGTCAGCAGAGATGGCTCTGGGGCAAACTGGTCCTTGCATGAGTGGCAGGCAGAACTGACTTTGAAGGTGAAATTTGCCCCAGGCATCAGGGTGAACAGTGTAAGGGCCCCTAGAATACACAGGAGAGGGTGTGCCAGTGTCAGAACACCTTGGCCTTTAGATGAGAGCACAGTTCTTCCAGGGATTTATTCTGTTTTGTGTGGTCTGTTTGGCTTCCCCTTTTGTTTGTTTTTTTGTTTTTATTTTAAGACAGGGTTTCTCTGTACAATCCATGGAAGTCAAAGAGGGTGTCAGATCCTCTGCAGCCAGTTACTGGAGTCTGTGGGTGCTAGGAACCAAACAGATTTTCTTAATGGCTGGCCCCCCTCTCCAGGCCCCCAAGCCTTTTTACCTTAGGTTTTCCTTTAGTCTTCTCCAAAACAGAATCGTGGGCTTCGTGGGGCTATTTTCGTGTACCAGCTCCTGCCCTCTGTTCTTCAAGCAGGTATCTTTTAGTTTAGACTTTCTGTGTCTCTTACTGGTGATGATGTCCAGGTTTCCAGGGGACTTGTAACTATTCCGTATCGCCATAGCCAGCTCTGACAGCCAGATCTATGGTTAGAGAGTGATATCCATGGAGACTAAATCTGATGTGCGCCCTATGCTGGCAGATCCACTGGCACGATTTTCCCCTGTTGGCATATAGTTGGTCACAGCTTCTTGGTTCTTTGTATGCAGAGCCAGCCCATCCTGTCTTCTAACCCTGTCTTGTAACAAAACAGTGGCTTATGAGCCAAATGTTTTATTTGACTTGCAGAATTATTTTTAAAAATTAGATTACATTGCAACACACTCATGTCTGCAATCATACTCAAAAATCTGGATGCCTGACTCTTTGAGAGACGACATAGAGTTTAGCAGTTTCTGTTCTGTATTCTTGCAGTACTGGCATTGAAACTGGGGCTGTGTGCGCCAGACAGAAGCCCAGCCCCTGAGCTACATTCCAGCCCTATGGTCTGAATGCCTAATGTCAGAAGCTGGTTGGATCTGAGTGGGTGGTGATCTGCTCCTTCCTTGAGTAGGGTGGCAGGCAGGGAGACAGGCTCATCCATCTGTCTGTGTCAGACTGTCTGTCTGTCTGTCTTGAAGTAGACTCTCACTCTGCTTCCACTGTGTGGATTCCAGATGTCTTAGTTAGGGTTTTATTACTGTGAAGAGACTGTAGTTGAACCAATTTAAACTTACTCCATCTAGCTTATGAATGAATAAATCTCAGACTATGGTTATTTTATTTGGCTTTGAATTACTGGAGGGTAACCCCTAATCTACTCTTCTAACTGCTGGCCTGCCTACTTCCCCAGTGGTATACCCCAATTACTTGCTGTTTCTCCTGGTCATTACTCATGCCTCATCTCTCATGGGTCCTTCTCTTCATGTCCTTTCTTCTTTCTTTCTGTTATCCCCAACCAGGTAACTCAAAACCCACCTACCTCTCGTCCCTCCAGTAATTGGCTGTACTATTTTTATTTAACCAATAGTTTTAAATTAAGGTACCTTACAACTCACCCATCTCCAGTTCCAAGGATATGCCCCTCTTCTGTCCTCTGTAGGCACCAGGCACTCACATGTACACATATGTACATTTAGGCAAAACACCCATGCACATAGATAAAATAAATAAATTCTTTAAAAATTAAATTTTGTTATTACATTTATTTATTTATTTATTTATTTATTTATTTATTTATTTTGTGTGTGTGTGTGATGGGTTCATGGTCTGCTATTACTTTTTTTTTTTTTTTTTGTGGAGGGCAGAGGCGAGGAGCTTGATGTTGTCATGACACAGCCTTGGAGGTCAGAGGACAACTGGAGTCAGTTCTCCCCTATGTGTGGGTCCCAGGGATTAAACTCATCGGGTTAGCAGGGTTGTCAGATGCCCCTTAAACCACTGAGCCATCTCTTCAGCCTTATAGCCTACTGTTTGTTTTTTTGAGACAGGGCCTCTCCATTAGATCAGGCTAGCCTTGAACTTATAGAGATCCACTTGCCTCCTGAGTCCACCCCATCCACATAGTCTGATCTGTTTCTTGCACTTCGGACTTCGCCCCACTAGATGGCAGTATCATCTTAAAACTGCATCTGTGCCCATGTTTTCAGGTCTTGCATCATATCACTTGGCTGTGATTATTCTACTGGTGCCTGTCAGTCAGATCCAGAGAGACGCTGACTTTTCTGGCTTTTCAGTTTCTGTGTGCACTTCAATACTGATTGCTCTTTCGTAGAGGCTGACAGACATATTCACTTAGATTATAGGTGGTTGGTGAAGAATGCCGTGAACCTGGCATGAGTATTTGTATTTGGAGGACCTTGAGAATATTTCTGGTTGTTTCTTCTGGCCTCACTTGGCTCTGAAGTCCTTACATGAAAAATCTAGTCCATGGACAGTGGAGAGGCGTGGGGGCAGTGAAGAGGCATGGGGCTGGGGCTTGCTATGAAGCCTCACGACTGGAGTTCAAGACCTTCACCGTGGGGGGGCGGGGTTTGAGTCCCTCAGGTTGTCCTCTCACTACATTACCCTAGTGTGCACACACAGTAATGTTATTTGTCTTTGAGATAGCGTCTCACTATGTAACTGTGTCTAGCCTGGACCTCATTATGTAGACGAGGCTTGCCTTAAACTCTTAATTATCTGCCTGTTTCTGGCTCCCAAATGCTTGCTGGGATTAAGGGTGTTTGCCACTGTGCCTGGCATATATATATTTAGGGCCCAGATTTCTGTGCTTCATTAGTTAGCCATCTAAGTGAGCAGACTTAAAGTGATACCCAAGGTTGTCGTCCAATGTGTACGCACACGCATATACACGTGAATACCTGTATACGTGCTTCTTCACAGAGGAAAGAGCTGCCTGTTACCAAAAGTTTAGGAGAGTCGATGTAAATGATTTCCAACTGATACCTCTTTCTCCCCTAACAAGGAAACTTAGAGCTTAGTTTCTTTTAAATGGTAGCATGGAACTCTGGAACGTTCTGTTCTATAGTCTTATCCTACTGAGTAAAGCCAGCGTTTCCCAGCTCACCACCTAGAGCCCTCAGTTCCCATAGCTTTGCCACCTGCTGAGCTTTTTATTTCTCCCTAGATTTCCAACTGTAGGTCTCAAATGCCCAGAAGATCCGGTAAATAGCTTGACTACATTGGCATGAAATCTACTCTGGGCCTCAGCATACTCCCAGCTGACAGTTTTCTGTCACATTTCACAATCGCCAAAGCTCAGAGTCCACATAGCTGTGACATTGTCTATGTGCTTCCTGCAGATGGGTCTAGAATCCTAGTTAGCCTGTCAGCCACACTGTCACCTGCTCTCGACTGTGGCTGGCCTGGGCTTTGCAGTAATGGTGGTTTCTTTCTAGTGCCCCAGCTTGCAGCACCCTGCTCCGTTTCCAATTCAGCAACTGGAACAAACTAACAGTGTACGACTGCCCGCGTGATCTGTGTTCAAAACTCTGTGATAACCTCCCATCATACTAGAATAAAATATAGTCTCTGTGCCGGCGACCACTCCCAGTGTCCGGGTGGCTGCTCTGGGTCCTGGCACTTGCTTGTCTTTTTGCCACTTGGCTCGAGGAAAGCCATTGGTCTGTTGGGAGTGGCATACAGAACGCTCCCTGCCTCCCTATTTGACAAGGGGGTCATCTCAGAAGTACCCACTTGTTCTACTGTTGCTTCTCCTCTTATTCCTCTTCTTCCTCCTCTTCCTCTTTTTTTCTCCTCCTCGAGCCAGTTTTTGTGTCTTTCTAGTAGCTACACACCATAGATTTTGCTTGGGTTAGGATGAGGTGAAAACTTTGGTGTACTGCATGCCTCTCTGCCATCCTATCCCATCTTGGTTTTTGAGTCAGGCCAGACTCAAATTCATCATGTAGATGACAACCTCACACTCCCAACCCTCTTGCTCCTACCTCCCAGCTGCTGGTATTATTAAAGGTGTGTGCACCATGCCCAGCTTGCCCAGTAGAGTGCTGGACACAAGGCACTTTGTGCTCCTGGTGTCTGACTTCCACCCTCGAGTGCTTTGATTGACAGGCTAGAGGAAAGGGAGTGGGAAGAAGAGGCAAGCCTGGGAACTTGGCAGCAGAGCTCAGAGCTTGGCCTCAGCTCTGTCCTCATACCACAGCTCATTGTCTTGACGGGAGCAGCAAAGGCTGGGACCGCAGGGATGTGGACACGGCAGCTGCCGGGCAGCCCGTTCTTGTTTCCCAGCAGGGCTGCATCCATGGTCCAGATCAAATCCAGTTGAAAAGCAGCAGCAGCAACAGAAGAAACTCCAAAACTATGACCTATTCTGTTTTTGAACTTTATTCCCGTGTTGAGTAATGCTTTGAAAACCACAAGGTCACTAACTAGAAATAAAATTTGAAGTAAAACAGTGATTTTTTTTTTTTAATTGAGACATAGTCTTTGCTATGTACCGGCTTGCCTGATACTTGTATGTAGCTCAAGCTGGCCCCAAATGCTCAGTAATTTGCTTCAGTCTTGTTGAATACTGGGATCACAGGAGTTTCTCTGATACACCCAAATTTATTTTTTATTTTAAGACAGGCTTTCCCAAGTTGGCTAGGCTGACCTTGAACTCACTCGTAGCCCGGGCAGGCCTTGAACCCTCCTGAGTAGCTGAGTCACCATGCATTGCCCTTAAGATCATGATGGTCTCTAGGCTTGGTCTCTAGGCTGAGTCTTCTGCAACGATAGTTCTTTCTTAATTGTTGAGCTATGGCTTCAGCCCCCAGCTGAGGTATTTTAAACCTTTCTCCCTGCACTTGCCTCTGGTTCAGTCGTCATCATTAGAAGTTAGAGAACAATCTAAGGCAAACTGAGGCCTGGGGAATTGGTGAGTATGCCATGAGTTGCATACCTGATAATGTCCATCCTCGAAGGTGGTTTTAATTTTCAAGAGCTGTATCCAGTGATCAGCCTCTCTGAGGCTTGCTATGAAGTAAGTGGTAACTCCTCCTACCTTTTCTTTCCCTCCAGGCAAATAAGGGATCGACTGAAGAACCAGGTTACTCAGATGCGGGAGCAGGTACCTGGCTTCACTCCCGGCCTGGCGATCCTGCAGGTATTAGAGCATCTCCTTCCCTTTAACACCATTCTCATCCAGCCTCTCCACAGCAGAAGAGGCTGTAGCACTCAGACCTCTGCCTCCTACCTTGTGAAACCTCAAACACAACATGTTTTCTCACTGTGGGCTCCCTTCTGGTACCCAGCTTGTGGGTGCTGGTTTCTCTTGCTCTATGCCAGTGTGGGTGCTTTTCTCCTTTATTGTGTTGATTTAAGGTCGGGTCTCATATGTCCCGATGATACATCAGTATAGACTATGCAGGGAAGGATGATCGTGAGCTTCGTCTTCTGCCTCTGCCTCCCAGCTTCCAGGATTATAGGCATGTGCCTCCTTCCCTGGTTTGTGTGGTGCTGGGGATAGAACTCGGGGCTCTCCGCATGCTGGGAAAGCCCTCTACCCACTGAACTGCATTATCAACCCCGCCCACTCAGTCTTCTTAGGACCCTCTGTACTCCTAAAATTTAAACAGAACTTAGCTGTAAAGAGTTACTGTATTGGGAATAAAATTTGGGTTTATTTATTTACTTATTTTTAAGTACATTAACTCTCATTAAAAGTTTTTTTAGGCCGGGTCTCACTGTCCAGCCCTGGCTTGAAACATAGTAATAACTCGGGGTTGTGGATAGAAAGTAGATTTTAACAACATAGAGGGTAGTATCTACCCAGCTTTTGTGATGTTTAAGGCTTATTATAAATAGAAATGCTGTGTGTGCCTTTTATTCGGAAACTAAAGGGTCAAAGGTGGAGTAGGAACCCCGGGTCAGGATTAAAAATTTTTCGACAACACTGGCAGGCCAGAAATTCCCTATATTGACCAGGCTTCTAACTCAGAGAGCTCTATCTGTCCTCCCGTACACACCATGCCCTTCCCTAGAAGATTTTTATTTTTAATTATACATTATTTATAATATAATTATTTTTAAATACCTGAATAAGTGTTTGCCCTTGTGTGGGTATTGTGCACACATGAATGCAGGCAAGTGCAGGAGGAATACCAGATTCCCTGGAGCTGGAGTTAGTGATGGCTATGAGCTCCCCAAAGTGGGTGCTGTGAACAATATAGAACCCAGAGTAAATGTTAAATATAAATTTATTTCAAAATGCCAATAGGAACTCCTGATGTGTTAACATAAACATTATAGAGAGAGAACTGTGTCTGAGACAGGCCCTGCTTTGTAGCCTAGGCTGACACTGAACTTCAGAGCACTGAGATTATAGGTGTGCACTACCGTCAGGCTGACACTGAACTTCAGAGCACTGAGATTATAGGTGTGCACTACTGTGTCCAGTTCAGAACTTTCTGGCAGTAAAATCTGATGAGAAGACATGCATTACCTGTTGAAAAATTTAAAAAAAAAATCGTACCCATCCATTGATTTGCATGTGTGCCATGGCTCTCCTGTGGAATTCAAAGGGAAACTCTGAGGAGCTGTCTTAGTCACTGTTACTATTTCTGCAACGAAACACCATGAAAGGAAAGGGCTCATGTGCCTTATGTCTTGAATCATACATAGTCTGTCAGGAGAAGTCAGGGAAGGAGCACACATGGGCATAAAAAGTGGAAGCAGGAGCTAATGCAGAAGGAGCTGATGTAGAAGCCGTGGACGGGTGCTGCCTACTCCTCGTGGCTTACTCAGCCTGCTTTTCTGTACAACCCAGAACCACCAGCCCAGGGATGGCATCACTAATAAAGGGCTGGGCCCTCCCACAGTGGCACACACAGTAAGAAAATAAACGAATGGGCATTACGGTGTATATGTGTAAGGCCAGCCCTTGGGATACCAAGGCAGGGGGACCATCAGCAGCCTGGCTTTTGTGAGTTTGAGGGCAGCCCTGGCTATACAGCAAAACCCTGTACAAAAAAACTGCCCCAAGGACCTGTTCACAGCCTGGCCTCATGGAGGCTGTTTCTCCCTCGAGTTTCCCTCCTGGGTGACTCTAGCCTGTGTCAAGTTGACTTAAAGATTGGCCAGGACAGGAGTCATTTCTCCTTCCACTGTGTGACAAATTTAGGTCTTCAGGCTTGGTAGCAAGTGCTTTTTCCCACTGAGCCATCTTGAAAATTGCACTGTTGTGCATACCAGGAGAGCTGGACCCCTCTGTTTCCACATTGGTCTCCTGCTGTGTGCTGTTCTGATTGACACATATGAAGAAAACCTGGCTGGACCTATAGCACGGTGGTAGAGCACTCACCCTAGCATGCAGGAGGCTCTAAGTTTAATTTTTAACATTCTCTCTCTCTCTCTCTCTCTCTCTCTCTCTCTCTCTCTCTGCCTTCTCCCTCTCTCTCCCTCTCCCCCCCCCCCCCGCCATCTTCCTTACACATCCCAGACCCACCTGCCTATAGAGTTGCACCATCAGCGCTGGGCTGGGCACTCCCACATCGATCACTAATTAAGAAGATGCATCACAGGCTCGCCTGCAGAACAGTCTGGTGGGGCCATTTTCTCAGCTGAGGTCCCCTCTTCCCAGATGACTCTAGCTTGTGTCAAGTTGACATAGAGCTAGTCAGCATATCAAGAGTCAACAGTTTTGTTTTTTAGTGTTTTTTATTTGTTTTTGAGACAGATTTGGTGGCCGAAGTTCAAGGCCTTGGACTTGCCTACACCTTGCATCATCCTCCTGAGGGCTGGGATTGCCAATGTGTAGCCCTGGGCCAGCTCAGTTGTTCATTTTTAGAAAATATTTGCAAAATACTGAAGCCTGAGTAATCACTGTCGGTTCTTTCAAGAAAAGTTGGTTTTCTGTGGAAAAGTGCATCTGGTTCATCTGGCAAGGCAAAACAACACAAATGCTTTGCCTATTAATAGCCACTGAGCTTCCTTCACAGACAGCAGCAGAGCTGTGGGAACTTCCTGATTCTTTACATAAAATCCTCAAAAGACTCCCAGGTTGAAGTTTAATAACATCAATAGTTGGTGTTTCTTACCAAGAGCATTCCTTAGTGAAATTGCCATTTATTTTTCATGAATGACTATGGCTGGGTGGATACATGAAATTTGTATCCTTGGTTTGTGCTGCCACCATCAGACTTGCCCACTCTGACTTTTGTACCAATACAAAAGCCAACACAATTAAAAAAAAAAAAGACAAATGACAACATACTATGTAAAGGTTGTCAGAATTTAAAGTGATATTCCTTATGACAAACCTTGACAAAGCAGTTCACAAAGGGACAGTCGTCACACCTGACTGCTTCATAACTATCATCCTAAGTCTCTAACAATATACCATAAACTTCTACAAAACCACAACCTTATACAGAAAAGATTTCTGCGAGGCTGTCTACTCAGCAATGTACTGCCTGTCCAACCATAGTCCATTACCATGCAAACACTCCCTACATAGCCCTTGAGCTCTTGCCTCAGCCTCAGGTACCGCCACCATCATCCAGACACTCCCTATATAGCCCAAGCTCACCTTGAACTTCTGCCTCAGTCTAAGTGCTAAAATTACGGGTGTGCAGTATCTTTTCTTCATGAGGGAATACTACCAAACTCTGGTTTCTCTCTGTCCAGTTTTCTCCCTGATCTAAAGGTTCATCCAGTAGGGAGGCAAATATTCACTCAGGCAGCTGTACAGGCGGGTGCCTGAAGGATTGATTTGGGTGGCAGAAATAGCTTTCATTTGAAACTTCCTTCAGAATCACCATCTTCCTGTCCCACGTTCTGTCTGTGCATGCCTGCACGTATGTGGTTTAATCCTTTACTAAACCTCTGTCCCTTATGTATCAAAAGACTCAGAAGGAGTGGTAGTTAAACACCACCTCCCCCACCACTCCGCTCTGTATCCACACAGCCTTAGCAGAGCAGAAATACAGAAGAAGGTTGTGGCTCTGCCTGGTGCACTCCATGTGTGGTAGCTTTTCTTTTTTCTTTTTCCTCAGATAACTAAGAACCACAGATTTGTGTGGTGGGTGTATACCTGGTACATTTGGGGACTGGTTACTTCTTAACTCGTTCTTAATTGTTTGTTGTGGGAAGAAATGCATGTCATAGGCACGAATTGTGACTCTGGGCTGGAGGTGTAGCTCAGTGGTAGAACACTTGCCCAGCATGCTTCGGGCCCTGGGTTCATCCTCAACATTACAAAGGAGAAAAAAAATGAAAGAAAGAAAATGAAACTCATTTCTGTAAATAAGTGGACTAAGCTATGTCACTGGGTCCAGCAGTTCACCAAGAGATCAAAATGGAGTCAGTCATGCTAATGTTCAATGCCACTGAGTTATTTATCTGACCTGAGAAAAAGCAGCCATATTGCCCTGGCAGGCTAGTTCCCCAAGATGTATCCATTGTAACCCGACATTGTCCTGTCTGTTCTTTTCTGTTGTCCTGACCCTCCACTGTGAAATGGTGGCTACGCTTTTGTCTTGCTTTCTTTAGCCTTTTCTGTCTTAAAACAAAACAAAACAAAAACCCAATCACCTCTGCTTTATGAAGTGAAGTATGCTTGATTGTAGAGTTGCAAAGAAAGCCAGTTCTTTGAATTGTTGTGGTTTCTTCCTTTTTCCTTCCTTCCTCTTCTTTCTCCTTCAGCATACAAAAGGTTCTTCTGTATCTCAGTTACATCTTAATTCATTCTGTAGCCAAGGACAGCTTTGAACTTGAGATCCTTCTGTTTCTGCTTCCTTAGTGCCGGAATAGTGGCTGCCTGCCACAATATCCAGCTTAAGTTCTTCTTTTAACCAAACCTTTTCTTAGCAATACTTTTTAAAATTGTCTTCAGATTTATTGATTTTGCAAGTATCTACTGTAGTCTAAGTAGTTTCTGCTGCCCATGTCTCAGCAGTGAGACCACGGTGTGGATGCCCCAGTCTTGCTCTTTGGCAGTAAAATGTTACCATCCCATCTTCCTCGGACCTCCTGTCTTTTTTGCTCTGAGGTTGTGATATCTTCCTACATGCCCATGCCAGAGGTCTAAGGTTATCTCTCTCCAAAGCCTGTTTTGTACATGTCTGTAATCCCAGCACTGCGTCAGTGGTCAGAGGACACGAGTTTAAGGCCAGTCTGTTCCCATGTGAGAGTGACCCTGTCTCTAAAACAAAACAAACTCTCATTCTCACGAGATTATCCTGAGACAATGTTGTTGTCCTGTGGAATCTGTGTTTTGGATCTTGAATCTATTCCTTGCTTTACACCCCTGTTCCTCCTGCTCTGGGTCACCCTGTGACTGCTCACTGGTTTTCTGTTTCTAGTGTAAAAATGCTCATTCTTTTAAATATATGAATAAGCCAGCACATATGTATGCACTACGTGCATACCTGGTACCACATAGGCCAGAAGAGACCGTTGAATACCCTGGAACAGATGGCTTTGAGCCACCATACAGGTACTAGAATCAAACTCAGATTCTTCGAAAGAGTCAGTGCTCTTAACCCCTGAGCTCTCTCTCCAGTGGGAAGCTCTTGTTAAAATACAACTCTCGTCATAACTACACTCCCTTTTTACTGATGAAATGGCAGTAGATAAGTGTTTATTGTGGTTCAAAGGTTCTGTATATATTTGTGATTGTGCTAATTGTTAAATTACCCCTATAAGATAAAAGCTGTCCTAACAATAATTGATGCCTAAACATCTTGGGGCCTACCCAAAGCCAGTCAGAAGGGATGAGTTTGGCACCCCCACCAAGCACTGGGTACAAAACCTGCTTGTTTCCTTTTGTCACTGTATAAATCAACTCTTCTTAAGGAAATAATAGTTTATTCTGATCCAATTACAAATAGCCATTGGTAGATCAGAAAATGTGGATTCAAAGGATCTGAAAGACTTTCCACTATGGAAAGGTTACATGAATTTTTATAGTCACAAAAAAGAAAATTATCAGTTAACATGTTTGCAGAATACATAGATAGGGCCATCTTTGTTCTCAGTTTTAGGGTTAATGGAGGCTAAACTGTCAGGCTTATTTCTAGAGTTCTATCTAAAGGTTACGAGGAAGTCAGATAGAAGGTAGATAACAAAAGGAGCTGTAAAGATAGCCAGAGGTCATTTTGGCTCTTACTGGCCACGGTGTCTTCACATTAAGAATGTTCTACTTAGCCAGGTCGCTAGTCTGCAGGTCTCAAGCTCATTCCATTAGTATGCTCTCAAAGGGTGTCAGTGCAGCCAGGGTGGTGCCAAGGCAGCGGTGCACAGCTATAAATTAAGTCCAGACTTAAAACCAAACTGCAGGATGTTCATGATCTGGTCCTAGTATATACTTGTTGGACTTCCTTCCTTCCTTCCTTCCTTCCTTCCTTCCTTCCTTCCTTCCTTCCTTCCTTCCTTC